AACAATATCAAAAGCAGCTGCAAAATCTATTAATAGTAACAATCCAGGTATATTATTCTTTTCCGAGTAGAACAAGAGATCATAAACTAATCTTATATTTGTCGCCATGAGTCTTCCGGGTAAAAAGCCTGTTTGGTCATCGTTAATGATCTTTCCTAAAATTTTTTTTATGCGAAAAGCTATTGAAGAAGATGCAATTTTATAAGATACATTTAGTAGTGAAATTGGTCTCCAATTTTTCAAGTAGGATTTATCTTTGTTTCCTTTTGGAATGCAGGTTATAACACCTTGTTTTTGAGTTACTGACAGTTCACCTATGTTATATGCATGATTTATTGATCTTACTAAAAACATACCTAAATCATTCCAGAAAAATTAAAAAAATTCTACCGTAAAACCATCATTGCCTGGACTTGTATTATTTGACATGCGTTTCAGACTATTCAACATTTCATTGTAAGTTAGGGCACCTTCAATAGATTGTTTCTCATTATCTAGTAATTTTGGTATGTCAGTATTATACAAAATTTGACTTAAACACACTGTTTCTGTATTTTTGAATTTATATAAATTTTCATAATGCCTCTTTGTTTCTGTAAGTATTTCTTCCTGTTTTTGTAAATGTTTTCCTGTTTCTGTTATTAAAGAATTCATAAATTTTGAGACATAATTTCTGTTTTCCAAATTTCAAAAGTATCTTGTAGGTTTCTCTCCTTCTTGTATCCATTTAGCTCTTGATCTTATAAATACACCATCCATTTTTTTCTTCCGTAAATCTAAAAGTTCTTTTCTTTTGTTTTCTAAAAGTTCATAATTAGTGTTAGGATGGGACTCAATATCCTTTATTTCTTTTAAAAGTTTATCTTCATTATTGATGTTTATTTTTTTTCTATGAGACGCATAACGAATGGTGATTCCTCTAATAGATAAAAGAAGAGTTTCAAAAAATAACTGGTCATTAATGTTGAACTGAAGTTCATGAAGCGGAACATCATTTATATTTTCATTAATGTTGGAGGAAAATTGATTTTTTGTTTCTTTAATGACTTTTTTAACTTCATCTACATATGTTACTTATTTTAATAAAGAAGTGTTAAACTTCCAGTATGATATTCTTTTTTTAAATTTGTCTAAATCGAGTGATATATAAATTAAAGAATGATCCGTTCGGTAACCCGATAAATTAGTGAACATTCAAGATTTGTATACAAATTATCAGAAATGAGAAAAAAATTCTAACCATGCCTTTTTAACTGGGTTTCTTCTAAACCATGTGTACTCTCTTTTTTCTAAATGATTTTCTCTCCAGCAATCTAAAAGATTGAATTCTGACATAATATTAAAAACTTTATCTCTAGCATTAGGATTAATTAAATGAACATAATTAAAGCAATCCATTTCTGGGTTTAGAATCAAATTGTAATCTCCCGCCAAAATGAAGAGAGAATTTTCAAACTGTGACATTTTTTCATGAACCATATGATAAAAGTCTGGACTATCTCTATTAGATCCATACACATTTACAAGACTTATATTTTTTTCACATATTTTGCAATTTAAAATCAGCAAATTCCCATTATTGTCCCGGTCAATGCTATTAATTTTACAATCAAAATTATTGTTTATAAATGTTGCTACACCTCTAGACTGGCTATTAAAATTACTAAAATAACATTCGTAACCCCATTGTGCCCTGATATACTTTTCTTCTTGTTGAGTGAAGTGAGTATCTTGTAGCATACATATAGAGTATTTTTTTGCATTCAAAAAATTTAAAACATCTTTGCGTTTACTTCTGTCTCCCAAACCTTGTACATTCATTGAAACTATTGAAATTTTATTACTCATAGTAATTCATAATTCCTGACAAATAGTTTTTGAACCTCTTGAGAAATAATATAATGTAAAAAGCACTTTGAGTGAAAAAGGATATTGTCATTGCTGTAGAACCCAAAAACCTTAAAGGGAAAACCTCCAGACAGACCGTCCATCATTGAACCAGTAGTATAAAACAAAAGCATGAGATGTATTTTCAATATGCTGTTTGAAGGAGAAAAGGTGGATAGTGATATATCTCAACTAAAACTACAAAATTGGTCGTACTTATATACATGTGCCTGTAAATCTACTGACAAAAAATTGGCTTGGTATTTGTTAAATAAAAATTGCTAAATAGAGAAAAAAAAACAACCAAAAAGGTATATACGGTAGTTAATTTATGTTTCAGACAGTAAGAAAAAAGAGATTAATGAGGTCTACTTAAAATACATTAATCAAGTACTTCTGCTGTTACAGTAAATGGACTACTTGCTTATTATTTTTATGAATTTTTATACCAACGGAGTTCTTTAATTAGAGAATATTTTAACGGAAAGTCCCTGATACAAGCAAAAAGAAAGAAAAAAAAATACTAAAAAGCAAATATCATGTTACATGGAGCAATCGATAATATATAACGTTACACATGGAACATCAAAAATATGACACAAAACATGAGCTTCATGCTACCTAGACATTAGATAAATAGTATAGCATGTATCTTGCCACTTGGTACATTTGATATATAACAATTAATATGTTTCACAGTCCGTTTAAGTTGTTACATAAGAAATATGGCAAATAATATTTTGTTTCATACTACATGGAGCATCGGGCATGTGGTAATTAATATGTTTCATATTACAAGGAACATCAAGCATGTGTTAAATAATATGCTCCATGCTACATGGAACATAAAGCATGTGGTAAATAATATGTTTCATCTACATGGAACATCAGGCATGTGGTAAATAATATGCTTCATGCTACATGGAACATAAAGCATGTGGTAAATAATATGGTTCATGCTACATGGAACATCAGGCATGTGGTAAATAATATGTTTCATGCTACATGGAACATCAGGGCATGTGGTAAATAATATGTTTCATGCTACATGGAACACAACAAGGAGCATCAGGTATATATATATGTCACATAAGATGCTCCAGGTACATGTGTATGGCAGATATAGTACATCATACTATATGGAACAACAGCCATAGGGTAAATGTAACTTTACCTTAAAATGGAATATTAAATTTTACCTCTATCATCTGCCAATCTCTTTTTAATAGTTAACACAGCAGGAATGAAAATAACTTTATGTACACACTGAGCATCCTGACACTAAACTTATCATGCCACTGAAAAAAAAATAGACCACAAAGGACCGCATTCCACTGTTCATTTATTAATGTAAAAACAGTTGTTGTTTTGTTTCTGTTTTTTTTTTTAATAAAGATACACTAATTACGCATGACAAGTAGCTAACAGCTATTGCATTACTAACAGAAAAAAACAATATCACATTTAACTGTTTATGTATACATGTATTACTCATACTGGAAATGTTATTATCATCACCCGAAGCCATAACACGTTGTCAACAAAACCGGCTTTAAAATAAACATATAGATCAGTCTGACTGTCCAAAGCTGAATGACTATTGAATCGATTTTGCACGTGCAAAAATTATACGAATAGCGACACCTAGCGGTCACTCATTACATTCAGGGAAATCAATTTTCTCCTTATTCGCTACTATCAAACAAAGAAAATTACATTTTTCATTGAAACGCCTCCTCCTGTGACAAGTTCCAACTGCTATAAAACTATGAAAAATGCTTCAAAAAATAGATAAATACAGAATCCCTAAAGAAAGCCCAATACGACAAAATTGAAAATGATGCAGGCTCGGTTTGATTGATCCTGTTCATGGACGGTGATAGAATTGCAAGTTACCGTCCACGCCCCCTAGCACCAGCTTAAGCAGAATTCAACATTTAAACGTGAAACAGTAAAATTTTGAATTTAGAAACATTCGCAGATGTGTTCATACGGCGGTTATCATGGAACCTTCAATGTGACACTTCCGTGCCATTCCATGAAAAGTGGCGTATGGTCCCCAAGTAATAAAAAACGTGTTCCCTAAACGAGAAAACAATGGGCGGAACTAAATAAAATGGAATTTTGAAAGGGAATCAGAAGCCTGCGTTTCACAGATAAAACGTCAAAAGACAATTTTAAAAAGCAGGCAACATATCCGAAGGGTGATTCAACATTATTCAATACTGATGAATGTTCGCACATATGTTGACTGAACAATAATCTCTGTAACAACATGCTCAATCTTAAATTTATTTCCTGTTACCATTGCAACGAGGGGACGTCTCAAAATTGCGAAATATCACTACAGTAAAAACCCTCAATTAAGACCACCATTGGGACTGGACCAAAGTGGTCTTAATTGCGGGGTGGTCTTAATTTTGGATATTCTTATCATAGCTTACGCACGTTATGACCAGGGCCTATTTTAGTCATTTTGTAAAACAAACAATATGTATCTTAATCTTCAAATACAATATTTATAAAAGTATGTTATAATATTACCTCTGATGGGAACAAAACATATTTCTGATGAAATTTAATATCAAATTTTCTTTGTTCTGATTTCAATAGTAATAAGTATGATGTACATAATTCCCATATCATATCAGACATTATTTCTTCACAAAACAAATGTTCATAAAGCAACATTAAACCACTATGAAATAAACTTCCTCACCTTTTTTCATTAAATATACCATAACTAACAGATTTTGAAACATTTTTTGTGTAATCACGTGTCATGCCTAAGAGCAATGAAGCAGATAATAACAACATAACTACACATTTAAGATCTAGGAAGGTGTTGATTTTAATATCAGTGGTCTCAATAGTGAGGTCAATTAAAGAACAAAATAATGAATTGGGACTGAATTTGGTGGTCTTAAAAGTGGATAAGTGAGGTGGTCTTAATTCTGAATCATGTAACCATTGACATAAAGGACAGAAAATTCCGTTCTTTAAAAAACTGGTCTTAAAAGTGAGGTGGTCTTAAATCCGAGGTGGTCTTTAGTAGGGATTCTACTGTATTTTGCATTGTTTTTTTTTTTTCATCAAAACTGAATCTTCTCAATGCAATGAGATAGAGTAAAAGGATTTTCTGCGCTGGTCAAACGTCATATTAATCTCGATCTGAGGCCATTTCTAGCCTGTCTCATATGTCCAAAATTTCCATATTTTCTATTCAGTGCAAGATTTTATTTTCAGTGTAGATAGCACTCCGTTAATATACATGTATAAGAAGACTATGGTATGATAATTTGATTTATGGTGGGACAAAATTGCTTGTACCGGAGATTTGTTTGGTCAGAATGAAAACAAAATAAGAATGGGTACTAAGTATACATTGCCCTCTAAAGGGAGACAATTTACGGTATGATAGTATCAATATTGACAACCAATCGCCATTTTTTAAACGCTCCCTACTAAATGTATACAATTATGTTCTTACTCACTTGCCAAACTAAATGTAAGCCTTAAAGCAAATCCAAATCTCATTTTCTCGTAAACTGCTAAATGTCTTGATAGTTTATTGTTTGAACTGCTTTGCATGGGTATGGTGAGAATTTGAATTTAGGAATATCCGCAAATGTGTTCATACGACGGTTATCACGAAACCTTCAATGTGAAACCCATTAGGGAATAATATCTGCTGCTCGTTAACACTTTAGGAAACACAACTGTCAGCTCCAAAACAATCTAAAGTTTATTTCGTTTTCTCACTTGTGATCTACATTTGATACATTAAAGTTTCGTAATATTACCATGATAAATTAATTAAAAAATTAAAGAAGTAAATAAATCGGTTACTGAACAGTCATCAATATTGAAATACACAAACAACAACTGTGGAAGTTTATTTTTAATAAAACAGAAGGTATTCGATCTGCTGCTGATATTTAGATTAATTCGCCGTCAAGCGTGGGAATCTCATGACCTCACTAATATGATTGATGACGTCGCAACTATAAAAGTTGAAGTATGATATTCGGCGTATTATTTATTCAAAGGACAATAGACAAAAAATATTACAATTAAAAAGTTATGTGGACTTCACCTCAATGTCGTATTATCTATGTATGAAAGCTAAGTAATTCTATATCGCACACTTTCGCAAACTGTAACGAACAAAATCAACTTCGAAACACCACATCAAACCTGCGGGTCATGTATCTATATTGAAGATTTTGGAATTTTCACAGATTTTTCATAGAACGGATTATATCTTCCAGCATTTCTCGCATTCCACAGCATATTATAAGGGTATGGTTTGTTGTTGGGACTTACTGTGTCCAGTGCTTCCATCTAAATAATAAAATTGATCTCATTAGTCAAAACCTTAACATAACTACTAACATAACTACATTTGTAACCTTAAATGTAAATATACGTAAATAAACGCCACCTAATTACAGAATTGTAAAACAACAACAATCAAATAATGAAAACCAATAATAATAAAGATATATCTCGTATTTGGAGATTTGAAAAAAAGAGAAGCCGTGTTTGATGACTGGAAAAAAGACAAGACATATTTGGTGAATTGAAAAAAGAGAATTGAAAAAAGACATATTTAGTCAATTAAAAAAAGTCATATCTGGTCAATAGAACGGAGAAGACAAATCTGGTCAATGGGAAAAAAGAAGACATTATTGGTCAATGGAAAAGAAGGAAGACAAAAATGGTCAATGGAAATAGGAAAAGTCAAACATGCATCAACTATGCAGGGTGATAAAGTCACAGTATTTCTTCGTATTTGAATTGAAAACAATTGTTGGTCATTGAACAGATATTTAATTTTAATCATTTTTTATGAAAGGACATTGGCTTTTTACAGATCTTTCAGTGCCAAACACTTACTTTAATATTTAAGCTCTAATGCATATTACTGAACAAACATACGCATTGCTATAAGTCGAGATTGCTACTAATAATTGCATCTCATCTCAGATTTGTGAAATCAGGTTATTAAAAGATTGCATTTTGAAAAAAAAACAAGTACAAAATAGGTTTACTTCTAGATAATATACATGTATATTATTGTGAGTCTTAATTGATCACCTGTTCATCAGTAAGTTGCCACTGAGTACTACCAGCGGCCATGTTTTCCTCCAGTTGTTTTAATGACGTTGCTCCAATGACAACCGAGGCCACACAACTCTTTTGTAGAACCCATTTCAGAGCAACTTGTGCTATTGTCTTGTCTACAAATTTCGTGTTATTGTTTATATAATAAATATATTTGTCGAATTATGCTGGGCATTCGCCAACATTTTCATGCTTTGTCTACTGTATATTGCCTAAACTTGTTGAGAGTCTACAGTCTTATCTTAGGCCGGCTCACTTTTAAATTAATTTAACCCACCAAAACAACATTACCCCAAAAGAAACCCTAACATTCTAAATAACATCTAATTTATTCTTACAATACCTTTAAAATTCGATAATAAATCTGTCTGGATATAAAGCATGTCTGGATAATGAGCCACCATTATCTTACAGTCAAATTTAACTTTAAAGTTAGCTGGCCTGAAATAAGTCTTTAGACTTCGAACAAGTTAAGGCAATATAAAGAAGTTTAGGCAATGTACAGACTTTAATACGAGGGCTGTCCCAATAAGTCACGTACAACGGCGTTTAAATAAAACAATATTACTTTATGGGCTTCTTAAAGAATCTATTGTTATTTATGAATTTCAAGAAATTTCACCTTTTGTCTAAAAGAAGATGCTTACTGTACAAATACGTTATAAATATTTCTAACAGGTTATATTACTTATATATAAATGCTGTTTGCAAAACAACCCGACATTGTTTATATAAGTAATAATGTTAATGTTTTCAATCTTTTAAGTATTACCTCTCTGTAGGATACAGTTTTGATGTCAAGCCACCTACTTATATGAAATATACACTTATTGTCTTTATAGTGATTATCCACGACTCCGTGGGACAGTCCTCGCACAGATATTATGCATGTGTAAAATATAGAATTCCACAATACTAAATGTGTCAAATGTTAAGGAGGCATATGAAAGAAAATACAACATACTGATGCCCTTAAAATATGTTTAAAATTCTTAATTTGAGATACATTATAATGCTTCAAAAGTTTTGCTTTATTTATGACACATGAAAATTAAGAAGAAAAGGTAAAAAGAATAATGTCTATGTCCTAAATATATCTATATGAATTTATATTGAGTTGTAAAACTTCTTAATTTTTCATAATTCAATGAATCTTTTAAAAAAAACACTGCAAATTTTGTGACACAATAATAATTAAACATTCTTTTTTAAATTACCATTTTCATTGGATATTTGTTTCAGGACATCGATGATTTGCCAGTATTGATCATCGCCGGAAAATTGCGACCACGCCCCTAATTGACCAAATGCTTTTTGTGCCAGCATGTATCCAACTCTGCTTGTGCTAGCATCAGGCACACCTTCTCTTTTAAACTTTCCAGTCAACAATCCTCTAAAATAGAGCATATGGTATATTACATATACTTGTACATTACTTACATTTTGTAAGCTCGCCAGGTCTTGCCCGACCCAAAAAATATGATAAACAAGATCAACAAGGAAAGGCGGCGTTCAATGAACGCAAACCCCCATATGACCCAGCAACAAGAACCAATGGCAAGGAGCCCAGGCGGACCCCAAACAAAAACAGGACAGGGCAAAGACAGAGCACGGACAGGTTAATCATTAAATGATAAATAATTTGTAACTGATTAGGAATTCAAAGAAAATAATAATAGGCCAACAAAGGGGAAGGGAACAGGAGACCGGGGAAGGGGGGGGGGGTAATCAAAGAAATAAAACTAGAGGCAAATGGGAAGATACTTACCGTAGACGAGAAAACAACAAGGGACACAAGCAAAAGTGTCACCAAAACAGCATGAAACAACATAGACATACATCTGAGGAACACAGTGGGGCGCCGCCTTGGAGCATAATAATGACTGCTGGGGAGTTAAAACTGGTTAATGGTGCACCAAACCTCGCTCTTAGCCCCACCATGTTCCCATAAACGAGACAGTGTAAATAAAATGAATCCCCGCCAAGTGAAATTCTAACAGTTGTCATGGTTACAAAAGGTTAAATAAGTAAAACACTAAAATGATCATGTAGAAACATATAAAAGTAAACCCAATGACCATAACAAAAGTACTCAATGGCCTAAAGGAAGACAGAGCAACAAGAAAATCACCTACAAGGGCCCGACGAAGCAAGGCAGAAGACGAACATTAAGACAATTCAGTCCCAAAGGGCTTTACGAACTATCCATCATGGAGTCTCCCACTTGGTCCGTCAGATGCAATCAAAAACCAAAACACATTACTCATAAAAGAAACCCCAACACTCAAATTATCATCTATTTATTTTCTGTTAAATAATTTGATATGTTTTTTTTTAAAACTTGATTTTAGAAAAATATCCTTTAAATTGATAACCTTTTCAAAAGAATGCCCTAAAATGTACAAATGTACCATTTGAGAATAACATTATTAACAGGGGGTGCGCAATTCTGTTTGACATGATTTACACAGGCTACTTAGATTGTTTACAATATCTTTTATAAAAAGGAAGTACGTGTAGTAAGTAATTTAGAAATTACCCTGTAAGAGGACTCCATGGCAGAACTGCAATACCTTCGTTCTGGCACACCATGAATGGTTCCCACTCGGATTCTCTATGTAATAGACTGTATTGTTGCTACATGGTTTTGAAACAAACAAAAAAAGCTAGCTATATACTGATAAGCAAACGATAGTTGTAAGACATTGCTAATGTTGCTTACATCATTAAAGTGACTTTATGCTCACATTTTCATTGTCAAGTTGAGCTGTAGTAACTATATGTTTCAAAAGATTAACTTTTGACATATTTGACAATTGTGACTGACCAACAGTTGATGATGGAGTATGTTTAGGATAGAATATAGATCTGCCTAAAATACAAAAAAAAACTGTCATACTCTTTTGATTTGATAAATTGATCGACTGGTATAATTCGATGGATGTTTATATAGATATTGAAAAAGAATCGTGGCAAAATGAAAACTTGTTTGATTTCACTTGTTCACTCACTCTTGGATGGGCATAATGTCAGATATCTCGAGAGCTTGAAAATTACAGCATAATCTCATACTAGTATTCAAGCATCTGTTTGTAATAAGCAATTTTCAGTAGGATAAAAGGGCACGGGGTATAAAGGTCTAGAAAGACCACAGTTTGCTTAAAGTGTCAGAATACTCTGTATAACATACCAATACTCTGTTTATCCCCTATCGTCTCTATTTCAAATATTCATCTCATTATTCAACTGCATACTAATCACTCTATTTTAACAAAGACAAAATGTCCCTGTGATAAACATACATGACAATGAACACTGAGGTAATGAATTTACACAGCGCCTTGCATTTTGTAATACAATACGTTAAAAAACAAATCGTTGTTAGTTGAAGACAGTGTAGCATATTCTTCTATTTATGGAAAAAAATCTCAGCCGCTTATATCTTTAACAATTACAGGACTCCAATAAACTTAGCATCGGATTGAAAACATTACAATTCTACGTCACATTTTTCTATATGAGAATATCGATCTTGACAAACTCAAGTAACATGACATGTATTGAACTGTGAATCGGTCGACACGGGTTCGATGCCCAGTTCGTGCAGGTCACTTTCGTTACGACTGATCACGAATTTTCTTTCCACAGTCATTCGCACTGTACCTCTTCTCTGGCATGTACAGATGTTATCAGCTCCTTGCAAAAGTGAAGGCAATTAGTAATGGTAAACTGCTTGACAGCCTTCCCAAGGACGTATGCGGTGGCCGAACAGTGCCGAACAATGATCTGGTAAATTCAATGTGGCTTACTGCCATGGTGCGTATTAAAAACTACCAACACCATGTATTGCAATATGATGAAAACTGTGTATATCATTTACTAGTAAAAGGTAATTAGACCTCAGGCAAAGTATGTAGCAATAAGGTAGAATTATGGTATGCCTTTTATTTGTAAATATATTGCCGGGATAATTTGATTCTGGTAAAACATAATGAAACGAGGTATGTCAATGAATAGCAAACCTGTAATGTGACACATGGCTGAAGTCCCAGAGTTTTGTATGTGTCCACGACTTGTTGCAACTGCCACCCACAAAGGTTGCTATAGCCATAGTAATGAATTTTACCACAGCGGACAAGGTCAGCAAACGTACGCAGTGTTTCTTCAACAGGTGTGGCATTATCCCAACCGTGACCCTGACAAAATATGAAAAGAAAAATACAAGAAAACCAGTAACGTGCAACGCATCTAAGGGCACCAGGAAGTAGTTGCAAAGTAAAATGTTGCACAATGCTGGGATCTAAGCGTAAGAAAAAAGTTTATTGGAATATTAAGTTGCTTAGGAGGTTCTTTTACAAGAAATAGCATTCTTGATAGGCTATAATGGACGGTTGTATCAAGGATCAGCTCTTCCCTGAGAATTTAAAACTTAACAACGAAAAGGAGAGAACATATCTTTTGAAACACGTGGAAATAAAATAAAACAAGAGCTGTCGGTAGGACAGGGCACTAGATTATTAGTAAGAAAAGAGTTTAATAATGTTATCCTTTTAAAAGTTCAAAATGGCAAACAATACGGTCATGTAACTGTTAAATGGACCTTGGATAATTACCTCCTTAAATACTATCAAATAAGTGTGTAAGTTTCTATCCATTTTCATCCGTAGTTTTGAAGATACTAACTTGCACATAGAATTTTATACGAAAGACACTGCTTGCACACACAAAGAGACTTGTCATAGTACCGTGATGACTCGTGCAAACAACATGTTAACTTGTCAAAGTATCATGATGACTCGTGCAAACAACATGTTAACTTGTCAAAGTATCATGATGACTTGTGCAAACAACATGTTAACTTGTCAAAGTATCATGATGACTTGTGCAAACAACATGTTAACTTGTCAAAGTATCATGATGACTCGTGCAAACAACATGTTAACTTGTCAAAGTATCATGATGACTTGTGCAAACGACATGTTGACTTGTCATATAAGAATACATTACATTATTGATACTTGAAAAAAATTGTAAAAATATTAAAGTTAAGCACCAAAATACTACAATGTTTTACCAATGAATCCCAAAAACGTTTTGTATCCTCAAATACTTATTAAAATAAAGAAGGATTCTGGGATATACATCCGAAAAAAATCTAATGTACTTTATATCCGCCAATATTGTGCATATTTTTTTATTTCAAATCAATATAGGTTGAAAATAGTTATTGCTGCTATTTTCATTCGTTGTATTCAAGTTTTGATATTTATTGAATCATGACAAAAGTCTACAGCATTTATAAATGCATTTAACTTGAAAACATATGTTACCCTAATTGATTAATAGATGTTTTCTTATGTTTCTCCACGTGACTACAGTAATGGGAAGCGGATACGAATAATGTTTGAATATGCTGATCGAAGCTTTCAAACACAATCCAGCTGACATGTCAAGATGTCGCCTACCTGATACAAATCTATGTATTCGGTCTGCAGTCTTTGAAGACTTCCTTCTAGAGCCTGAGTAATGTGTCGTCTGCTTAAACCAAGATTGTTCGGTTCTTTGTCTTTCGTATTGAAGCGCACTTTTGTTGCCAGTACTACGTCATTTCTGTTGCTTTGTTTACTGTGAATAATAATGGTATATTTATAATTGAAGAAATTGTTTAGCTGTTGCATCATTTGTCCTTTTATTTTTTAGAAGTTACGTTGCTGAGAGTGAGAATTTAAAATGAAAAGCAAAGTGCACTGACTTAATTTAGCCGTCAGGAAAAAGTTCTGCATAAAGAATAAAATTTATTTCACAATATGCGAACATAGAAAAAGTTAAATGAAAATTTGAAAATTCTTTAATTGTCACCTAGTTTAGGCAGACCATAACGCCCAAGTATGTAAATATTCAAGATAATGAGAGAGAGAGAGTATAGATCTCCATAGACATTGCTTACGTCTCAATGTTGAACATTTATTATATTGTTCCCGTGCGATTTTTTAGTTTGTAGAAGTTCGGATATGCGCTGCTCGCTTTTATGGGAATTCACATGCAAGTTAGACACTAAAACTTGGATCTAATGACGATAGTCATTAAGTATCTTATTACTTATAAAGATCGTTGACAAATTATATGGCCCTATATAAACGACTATTTGTAAATATAACCAGAGCCGTTAACCTGTCAACAATCTTTATAACGAATTTATAATACAGCAAGCATCAATTTAGAGAAAAAAGTAAGATTTCTTCATGAATCGACAGCAGCCATGTATATAAAACTATATAAACGTCATGATTATCCAATGAAAAATGGCGTTACAAACGTGCAGTATTATAAATGTTACACTCCAATAAAGCTCTGTCTTAATGAGTATGTTATACATGATATATACATATAATATTAAAACATGCTGCTGCATACCTTTGAAACCAATTGCCAATAATAGTTTCAGATGACCCACCAGTGTAAACGTTGGCAGTATCAATAAAGTTTCCCCCGAGATCCACAAAACGGTTTATGAGTGTATGCGCCATCTTCTCGTCAGAATGAGTTGGTGTGTCATAAAACTAGAGAATTTAGTGTTTAACAGTGATGAAGTAATTCAGTGATTTTCTCCATTCTGTTCAGCAGGTTGATACATATACAATTTACTTTAAACTTTAAAAGCAGTCCGCCTGTCTATATATTGGATCTTTTTATTAAATCAGGAAGTGTTGAAACATGCAGTCAAATATAACAGTCTGATATATTTTCAAACAATTGAATGTAAAGTGTGTCTATATCAGTACATTGTGTATATAAATTTTATTTATTAAGATATTGACGTTTTATGAGGAATAAATTAAGTCAATTTCAGATAATAAGCTATTTATAAAAAATACATTAATAAGATATTCATATTTATTTTAAATCTTACATTAAATGGACCTCCTTCTTGCTTTCCAAACGTCATTGTACCGAGGCAAATATTTGATACTTTTACACCTGTCTTTCCTAAGTAGTTGTACTCCACGTCTGCTGTAGTAGCCATTTTTTACTGTTTGTGACTGTTAATACTAAATACACAAATATTTTTATAATGGGTGAATTTGGGCTTCCGATGAGTTGAGGTTATGGGCTGACTCCAATCTAGGGCTTTGAATTCTTTCATTTTCGAAAACTTTCCAACCAACGTGGTTCTACTTAGGTGCCCGTTCATGCATTGAAATCATGTAAGACCGGGAACCGTAGCAAGAATCTCCACCAGTAAAACATGTAAAATGTGCAAATGTCTCTTATGGTACCCCAACCAAATGTACAAGATTTAAGGCAAATCATACGAATTGATTTTAATTGTTCTTCAATATCTCTCCAAATCATGGTGTTAAGACAGTCGCGACATGCAAATGCTCATTACAGATTATTTTGGATATGCATGCTGAAATGTTACGGAAAAAAAACAATATTAGTAATAATGAACCTATATAAAACTGGTCGTGCTCTTTCATATTGATATACAAGTAGATTTTCTATTGATGATAATGATGTTGTGTTTGATAAACAAATAACGAATACTTAACATATACAAACGAAAATATTTAAATAGTATAAAAAGGTTATTGTGTCAAACAAAGGACAAGGCTCGTACGTGTTATGTCCTGGGTCCGTACTCGATAACGAAAGCTAGTTTTCAGCATTAACGAGCGGATTGATTCTTGAATGCATAAGTCGTGTGACTTGACTAGTGTACGTCCTGCGTTGTAGTTACGACGTTGTAGTTACGATTAGCATAAATTGTATATATTATAATCGATGAAATAAAAGATAAATACATTTGTACAGAGAAAAAAAATGATTTCGAAATAATAAATAGCCCGAGACATTAGCGATCGCCCAACCCTTATACTTAAACTGATATAAAAAGATTAATACCTGCATGATGCGCGAATAACACAAACCTTTTATAAAAGTAAATCCATACAAACATGTATATTGTACACCGCTTTTGACGTTATTTTCTATTTGACGTGACTTGATAAATGTCGCTTCAGGTGAGGCTATTAAACAGCTGTTTACATCGATATACAACATTCTATATACATGTCTACATAATGATTTAACTGCGCGTTTGTAACGTCCATTTCATTGGACATTCGAGATCTTTATATTCACTTTAAAGTAAATTTTAATGGTAAAAGAAACTTACATAAATGTTCGAGTGCTCTAGATACTTTGACACACATATGCAATAAGGTTATCTGATCAGTTGTGTTATCGCACCAGGTCAATCACCACTATATTTTGATAAAGGCGATGACCACTCCTCCCCGTCGTGTTTCGAAACACTGGTTGCCAGATTAGACCTTTCAAGGATCCAATCTAGCACTCAATGCTATTGAGTGACTTCATGAATTATTACCAGTACCTGTGGCACTGTACCCTGACTCACCTGATCAGCTCACTGCGACTTATTTTTGACATGCCCTTACTGCTCATGAAGGGCATAAAGCTTCTACATTTTGTAATTGCAACCAACGAACAGCAGAATAGAATACAGTCAGGATCGAATAGAATGACTGTCAACAGTAGTACCCTGAGAAGAAATAACCAAAACTAGAATCTAACTATCACCTACAAACACGGAAACCTCCTTCTCCTCTTATATATATAAACTGAAGACTTATCACTTACTATTGTCAAAACATTCTAATTTAACCCACTCATGCACTGGTTCCAACTCAGATGCAAGGATATGCAGGCTATGTCTAGCTAGAGACTACCGATCTAACAGCTTAACAGCATCCTGAGGGTTATAATATAACAAAAATCAAAGATCTTGCCCAGACTGCAAATAATTTATAGATAAATATTACCATTTTTATATACTGTATTTTCTAGAATGTTTATTTTGTATGGATTATTGGATTTAGAATGTCGTTATAAGTACGCTATGATCTCTTTTACAGTTTTATAGAAGTACACATCAAGCGTCCGGTTTCTTTACTATGTCAACTTAATTGATGCCAGAAGAACCGCTTTGATTATTACTTTATTAAGACCTTCATTGAAAGATTTGATATAAGGACGTTGGATTAATTGTTCAGTGCATTAGATAAATTTACCTTCTTTAGTTTTTTCTACAGAAATGATATGAAATTCATTAACATTTTTAATTTCTGCTTATTTTTAATGTAATGTTGTTTTCTTGTTTATTCTGCACGAAATGACGTCTATCTTTGCACGTTTTTATACAAAAATATTGGCATTCAAACAGTAAACATGTAAAGTTTAACATTTTTCTACGATGTACTTTAATGTTCTAATATAGATGTTACTTTAACAGGTTGGAATTGTTGTTGTGAATATGAAAAAAAACACACACACAAAAAACTATATTATAACAGAGAAAAAATGCACTTTATGGGTTATCTTATATCATAGCAAACACGTTGCTATTAGCACCATATTGGAGCACGGTAACGGAGTATTATACAATAAAGAAAATTGTATCGCGTACAGAGATTTTAAATATAATTATTACAGACGAAACCTCACCAGCACCTGACCACCAAAATCCCCGCACCACATTTATCTAAAATAAGTGTGAGAAAGTCACGCAATAGTATAAAACTAGTCAGTCCGCCAAATAATCGTATGTCTTGCCATTTTAATATGACGTCACCCATTCACGTATTATACAGTAAATAGCGTCACAATGTTAAGTATGCGTTATATATATACCGTTTATAGTATTGAGCGACATTATGTGATAAATATACATTTATACTACAACTAATTCTGCACGAAGCACGTCAATAAATTGATTTGAATTTGTATGAATGACTTAATGCATTTCATTGATCAAAACTTTTAGGAATTCCTGGAAAGAAAGGAAGACCAATATTAAGGACCCACTTTTCAAGAAGATTGTTTCTGACAGTAAAATTACCTCACATAAAAGCAAGAGATTGTCTTGAACCAGAAAGTGAGTACACGTATGACGTTACCGGTGTCAATATGACTTGAATTATCACCTTTAAACAAAGTTGCTAAGCAAATAACTATTAACGTAATAAACATCTAAAAGTGCAGGCACGTACGTCTCTAGTTTAAAGACAAGAAATTAAATTGTTCCTTCTAAATAGTTTGCCATGTTAAATAACATCCATTGACAACCAATATTGTAGTTTGTAGCCCTTGGATTTCATTTTACAGTTGTTTACGTATCAATGCAACAACAACAACAATGATAATAATATAATAATAATAATAAAACACCTTTATTTCAAGAAGGAAACATACAGATCTAAGTGCGCAAAGTTAAATGAAATGACCTTCCAAAGAAGAGAAAATGGAATTATTTATCACAATAAGAAAATAATTACAAAAGTAAGAAAAAGCAAAAGTCAGATATGTCGTCAATTAATCAAATGACGTCAAGAAAATTACTTCTACGCTTTATGTTGTTCATCATTTTCTATTAATTAATTCTTTATTTTATTAGCATGTAAGAATGGGACTTGATTATATTTTTCTTGCATTATTGTATTAGAATTCACGGTTGATGCATTTATCATAATAGCGTAGTTGTAGGGTGTTTGCTCTATGGAAGTAGAGACCCTGGTTCGAATCCTGGAAAAGACATTTTATTTTTTTGGTTTTAGATGTGTTTTTTTACAACTGGATTTAAGTTCCACGTGAATTTCATTCACACGATGCTATCTAAGAACATTTAGTTATTCACACATTCGCATTCGACAGGTTAAGTATAAGACAACAGGTGACAATGAGCAATGGAAGGAAACATATTTTGAAAATATATACAAATGAGCCAAAATTGTTAAAAATGTGGTGAATGGAATTTGAAATAGAATAAAATTGATAACACTTTTCAATCTGTTCAATGGCAGATATAAATATATTTAATTTTCCCTAATTGTCATAGGTTGTGCAGAACATCATATAAGTAAACATGAAAAGTTACATGACACACTATAGAAATATATTCTGAAAGTAAAAACCATACTCAAAACTTGTGCACAATATCAGATTTGAACTCGAAAAAAACCCAACGTTTCCATAATCTGAGATCTTCATAATCTGAACTCTCTATATAACCACTACGCTACTCGGATTTTTGTGACTATATCCACTTTTTCTTCTATATCTTCTATATTCTTCTGTATATTGCAATGAAAATACAAAATGTCATAATTGAAGAACTTGAAAATTTCCATTATATCGTAATGGTACGACAAATTTATGACGGGGTGGGTATGAATTTCAAAATTGAGCATCGGTAAAAAATGTATGTGAATTTCCGCTTACCCAAATGTGCAGTATAACTCTACATGTGAAGGAGAAAATAGGTCAATCAACGTTTTTAACATTTTAAACATTTATATAAAATTCAAAGCTTTTAAATAAAATCGAAATGTGATTCTACCCTCCTGGCTTTTTTCTATATTCACACGTTTTTGTTTGGATTTTTAAGCAGTCTTCATTGACATATTCTTTATGGGTTCCGGTGTGCCTAAAATATGCAATCCACGCTTATGAAGAAATATCGCTACACGTACTCCAAATACAGAGTTTTTACAAAATCTTACAACAAAACGATGCTTAACATTTAAGCAAACACTTACTGAAACATTTATTGAGATTGGTCTCATAATAAAGGAATTGCCGGTCAAAATTCCATCTGAGCTTCATATGTACTGAAGAGATTCATAGGTGCATGACATAGAAATCATCAACATAATAACGGATCATTTCCATTAAACAATAAATGTTTTTTATTATTGTGTTATCATTCGGTAATAAAAATTAATATTCGTTATAGACACATTGTCTAAAGTCGACCTTGAATCATCCATAAAAAGATAAAAGACATCTAGTAGACCTACTAGTAGAGCATTGATTACAGCTATGTTTGGAAGTCAGTTATGTTTGGAAGTCAGTAACATTTTTAAACGTACAAATATGGAATCTTTTATAATACTGCACGTTTGCAACGTCACTTTTCATTAAAAGCGGGACAGATATCTTTATTTAAAGTGACATTATGCTCATATTTTCATTGTCAAGTTGAGCTATATTGACTTTATATTTCAAAAGATTGACTTTAAAAATGGTGTTTAACCAACCGTTGATATTGGAAAATGTTTAGGATAAAATTATAAATCTACCTAAAATTTAAAAAGACTGCCCCACTCTTTTTATAATCTAAGCGTTATAGATAAAATATAATGTATCTTTACAAAAAATTCATTTGGATACTGTTAATGCGATCTTAATTATAAAATTGAAAGGAATTTTGGCAAAATTAAAACTTATTTAGATCTTCACCCGTTAACTCACTATATACCCTTGGATGGGCATAATATCACTTTAATATAAGTTATTCATTTTTCTTATTCTCAAAACTTATCTATAGCAACAATTATGTATATTATTATTTTTTCATCAACTTATTATGATTTTTGTTTGTTTATTTATTAATTTATTTATTTGCTATAGACACATTAAGCAAGTGAAAGGCTATTTCAAAATTTTATAAATCATAGTACATCTCAACGTTTGATTGACATTTTAATTTGAAACATTTAACATTGTTATGCCCACGGGAATACTCATTTTTACGTTCCTGGTATCTATGTAGTTATTGCCCGCATATGTCAATGGTGTGTTTACTGTGAAGACGGTATACCAAATAATGAAGGTAATGCATCAATGTTATCATACATTTTGTCACTTTATTCACTAGATTATTAATGTTTGTAGAATGAAATTTTATAATAACAACAGTTAATCTAAAAAAAATTAAGTTTTTTATTTGTTCTTCTTCAGTAATCGCTATTATTTGTAGGACGCATGTTTTCTAATTTATTTTTATATCTTTAAGGTTTATTATAGGTAAATAGCATTTAAATAAAAGATATTAATTTTCACCACTACTGTGGTAAAAGTGGCATGCGTATTTTTATAAAAACTTAAAAATCGTTCAAATGAGCATATATAAGTAATAAAGTATACAAATCATATGGTTTATCCTAACACAGTTTTA